AACCTCTTCTATAGAAGAGGTTAGAACTGGCAGGAACCCACCCCGGGATACAGGTGGTCCTCGACTTAACAACAGTTCATTTAGGGTCCGTTCAAAGTTGTAACGGCACTGAAAAAAGGAACCTGTGACCAGTTTTCACACTTACGATCATGGCAGCGTTCCCCATGGTCACGCAATCAAAATTTAGCCGCTTTGCAACTGGCTCATGTTTACGATGGTTGCAGAGCCCTTTTGCAACCTTCTGACCAGTCATGTCAACGGGGAATCCAGAGTCACTTAACAACCACGTTACTAACTTTAACCGCTGCAGCGAATCGCTTAGCGTCGGTGGCAAGAAAGGCTGTAAAATGGGGCAAAACTCACTTAACAAATATCTTGCTTAGCAACAGATGTTGATCAATGTCCAGCCCCACTTAGACTGAATGGATGTTGTGTAATTTTAACAATTGTATTTCTTTACTTTTAAATTTTTAAATGCTTTTTTATCTGTCTGTAAGCCGCCCAGAGTCCCAAGGGAGTGGGCGGCATACAAATGTTATTAAATTGAAATTGAAATTGAAATGTCTCCACCTTCATACTAGCACAATCCATCCATTAGGTTGAAGAATGGCTCTCACAAATCATTTTTTTCCAATGACAGCTGTGTTTTTTAACTATTATCCATTGCAGACGGTTATATAAAAATGCCAATGTAAAACTGAAGATTATTGAGATCAATTTTTATATAAATAAGACTTTTTACTGCTAATTAAAATAAATTAGAAATCTATTTTGTCTCAAAGATGCTCTATCCTGTCAAATCTAATAAAAATGTGTTTAAAATCTAAAAACTTACTGATTCAACAACCTAGTCCATATCTGTACGTTATTCGTGTGTTGTTCATTAAAAAGTCATTATATAGAACTTTACTACGTAACCATTGGATTGGATCCTGCTACAGTAGGCTTCTTCAACTGCAAAACTGGAATAGTATTCTGCTAAAATCAACATAAACACAAAAATATGATAACTTTATGCAGCCTAGTATCAATACAAACATGCAGTATAAACTAATTCCAACATAATAGTAATATAGCACTTACTTGTGACCATTCAAAGCTGCATGATGTAAAGCAGTATATCCTGAACTATCTGTGCAATTTATATTTGGTCCTCGCCAGATGCTGAAAATAAAAAACAAATTCCATTATAACAGTATGAAGTTACTAACATTTAATAAAGAATTAAATATTACTTTGAAACAACTCAATGACATTTTAAATGTTATAAAGAATTATATTTTAATTTTAACAGTGATATATTTTATATACAAAAATTCCACTGTAACACTATAAAGGTATAGCATTTTAAAATGATTAAATATTAATATAGAACAAGTAATAAACTTTAGATTTGTTATAAAGGGAAATGTTTTAATTTTAACTCCGAAAAACGAGCTGACTAGTTTATACATCTAAATTTTCATACTGATGGCAATTCCAGGTAAAAAAATTACTGTTTTCAGAAAAGCTGATTAATTTTCAAGTTCCTACCTGGAATACATACTTTGTATCCCAGAGTGCAAATTGAAGAATTTGTTCATCAGGAATAAATAAAGAGGAATAAAAGTCTTTTCTCAAGAATACCAGGCTCTGCCTTACAGTATAGAAGAAACTCCTGTGTTCCTTTATTTATAATTACTAAGGAATTATTATTATTTTCCTTTACCCAAGAATAGGGGGAAAGGTTCTGAATAGAAAAGAGTTAACAGTTCAGAGGACAGATTGCTAGTAAAACAGGTAATTATAATATAATGTTCATATTTATTTAGTTATTAAAGGCAAGCTTGTTACATTTGTTTTTTTTGCATCAGCTGGAACTAAGAGTTCTTCCTGCAGCTTACTTCCTATCTTTTTGCATGTCCCTCTTTATACTGCATATGAAACTCACTACAAATTATTAAGTTTGTATAGCTGATTAGTTTTTTCCTCCAAATCTACTGTCAAAGAAAACTAATAAGAGAAGGGATGGGATTTTGTGGTATGTGTTATAGTTAACATGAAACTTTAGCAAATTGTCCCAAGTGTTAAACATTGATGCTGTAATGATTGAGAGAAAAGCCACTATTTTTCATGTAGAGTTTCTGATTGGGGTCTAACAGATAAAAAGCAGCAGGTGCAACCAAAGAAAAGACAGAGAATTGGGATAATAGTTGAAGGAATCTACTCCATTCTGAATTATATATCAATTATTTAAAGAAAAAAGATGGGTGAGAAATTAGAAGGGCTTTTATCTCATAAATGTTCTGCCATAACTTTTCTATATTAAGTAGTCAAGTTTCTCAACAATAAAGTTAAATGTAAACAACTGCAATTCCTAATAGGAAGAATGTTTTCCATGATTTACCAGAATAGACTGAAAGCACTGCCAGTACTGTAAAACAGCTACAGTCCAGGTATTGATGGCTTTCCATTGTTCAATTTTGTCTTTAACAAATTTTTCTATTTTTTTTTCTTTAACTGGTCACATTTTTCACTTGTCAGCGTTTGCTGTTATCCAACTGTAAAATGTCTAGATACTTGTATGTTTCATTCTAATGGCTCCTTTTGGTTTGACCATTTGGCCAAAGTTTGGCCCTAGTTTATTGCTATTATAGCACATTTCTCTAGGCCAAATTCCACTATTGTACCGTATCTGTGCTAAAAATTCTCACTACGTTTGTCAATGACTGCATTTTAACTACTGATTTTCCATAACCTTCAGATCATTTGTATAAAGCAAATTTGGGATTTTATTAGCAGTTTTCCCCTTTTTGATAGCCATATTTATGTTCTCCAACTCATTGAAAGTGGTTTCATAGAATGACAAATAATAAGAGTGAAAATCAGTCACCCTGGAAGATCTTCTCCTAATGATGACATCCCTCTCCTAATGTTCACATTTTCATGTCCAACCACGAATTCTGTTCTAGTGGAAGGATGTTATTTTCTTCTAATACAATATTGGATGCCTGTGAGTAGTTTAAGCATTGTAGGCAAACATAATTTCCTGGTATTGTCCCTTTCTCTAGGTCATTTTGAATGAGATATGTTTTGCCAGTTATTAAACAATTGTTGATGTCTCCTTTATACAATACTTCATTAAACTGTTTTACTATAATTTGAGGTAAGCTATTTGAACAAAAAGCCATGCAACTGATCATTTCCAGATGTCCAGTTTTTAATCCTTTTTACTCCATTTTAACTATTTCTGCTATTATTAGTTTCCCATTTGATTTTTAGTTAATTCATCTTCAAATTACTTTATTCATCCAGCACTTTATTAGAATGTTTCATTTCTTCATACATCTTTCCAAAATTAGATTGCTTCCTTTATGTTTCATTTTCCATTTTCAAAATTTATATTGCATTTCTACCAAAGTATAGTCCTCAATTTACAATCACAATCGAGCCCAAAATTTATGTTGCAAAGTGAGAAATTTGTTAAGTGACATTCTTGCCACGTTAGGTGAATCACTGTAATTGCTAAATTAGTAACACAGTTAAGTGAATCTAGTTTCCCCATTGCCTTTGCTTGTCAGAAGGTCGCAAAAGGTGATCATATGACACAGGGATGCTGTAACCGCCACACAGGTGAAACTCAAAAAATTAGATTATGGTGCAAAAGTTCATTTATTTCAGTAATGCAACTTAAAAGGTGAAACTAATATATGAGATAGACTCATTACATGCAAAGCAAGATAGTTCAAGCTGTGCTTTGTCATAATTGTGATGATTATGGCTTACAGCTCATGAAAACCCCAAATCCACCATCTCAGAAAATTAGAATATTACATGCAATCAATAAAACAAGGATTGTACATAGAACAATATCAGACCTCTGAAAAGTATAAGCATGCATATGTACTCAGTACTTGGTTTGGGGGCCCTTTTGCAGCAATTACTGCCTCAATGCGGAGTGGCATGGAAGCTACCAGCCTGTGGCACTGCTGAGGTGTTATGGAAGACCAGGATCTTCAATAGCGGCCTTCAGCTCTTCTGCATTGTTTGGTTTCATGTCTCTCATCTTTCTCTTGGCAATGCCCCATAGATTCTCTATGGGGTTCAGGTCAGGCGAGTTTGCTGGCCAATCAAGCACAGTAATCCCATGGTTACTGAACCAGGTCTTGGTGCTTTTGGCAGTGTGGGCAGGTGCCAAGTCCTGCTGGAAAATGAAGTCAGCATCCCCATAAACCTCATCTGTGGAAGGAAGCATGAAGTGCTCCAAAATCTCCTGGTAGACGGCTGCGTTGACCCTGGACTTAATGAAGCACAGTGGACCAACACCAGCAGGTGACATGGCTCCCCAAATCAACACAGACTGTGGAAACTTCACACAGACTTCAAGCATCTTGCAGTGTGTGCCTCTCCATTCTTCACCCATACTCTGAGTCCTTGGTTTCCAAATGAGATGCAAAAGTTGCTCTCATCAGAAAAGAGGACTTTGCACCACTGAGCAACAGACTAGGTCTGTTTTTCTTTAGCCCAGGTAAGATACTTCTGACATTGTTTTTTGTTCAGGAGTGGCTTGACAAGACGACATTTGAAGCCCATGTCCAGGATCCATCTGTGTGTGGTGACTCTTGATGCACTGATACCAGCCTCAGTCTGGTAGAAGTTACAAGCAGAACACAAGCAGGAGAGAACAGCTTCATCTCAGAGTTCAGAGCAGACATACAAGTTTAGATTAGTTTACTTCTCAGAGCAGCAGACTCAGAGCTCAGAGTTTACAGACTAATTTCAGTTTTAATTCTCAGATAAGCCACGCTCGACTCCAAATTTCTGTTTCCAAAACAGCCTTCATTGGCTTACTCAGTTGCTATGCCTTTTCATTAGCTGATCTATTCCAGTCTATGAATATTCATACTCTTGACAATCTGATCTTAATTTTTTTGTCCTGGCCTCTAGTTTGATATTTCACTTTGTGGTTGAATATGATTTTGGTTTTGATTTTTTAATTTTGACAGCCAGTTCTTCTAAAACCATACTGTTGTACTGCAGGCAAGCTGATTGGTCTGTTTGATAGACACTATTTTAATCCTTGCATTAAAACCCTAAGCCAACATTATGAAAACTGGGGATTGTGCCCTAACATAAATTAAATCTAAGTATGTGCCTTCCATCTAAGCAATTGTATGGCAAAGAAAGAGTTAAACGTATATTGCTTTGGCAAGAGGAAAAAACACAACTGCCACCCAAAATATCTTGGAATAATCTTTGACTGATCCCTTATATTTGGAAAACACCTTAAATTAATCAGACAAAAATTGAAAATGGGAAATAACTTGATTAGGAAAATTGCAGGAACAGGCTGGGGAGTTCAAAATATTGTGTATAGTGGCACAATTATTAGTATTCTCTGTCACCGAACACTGCACACCTGTATGGGAAAGAAGATGTCATACCAACAAGATTGATTTTCATCTTAATATAACCCAGTGAGAATATAATCTGAAATCCTTAAATCCACACCACTCTCATGGCTCCATGTTCTTTTTTTTCTCTTTCCCTCTTGATCTTAGGTGACAACAACAAATATTTCGAGAGGGGAATAAGATAAAAAGGCTATCAATTACTAAATATCCACCGATACACAAAATATTAAACTCTCTTCCTTGTACCAGGTTTAAGTCTAAGAAACCAATTGAATAACATACCAGATTTTTTTTTGTCTAAATGAAGAATATGTAAAGAATATATAAATATGAGTATATATATGAATATATAAATATTATATAAGACATATAAATAATATATAATATATTAAGACTGTATTACTATTCTTCTTCTCATACTTTCTATTACCTATCTCCTCCCACTTAGGACTATAACCATGTTGCTTGTATTTTTCCGAATTATATTGTTCTGTTTGCTTCCTAGTAGGATTTGATTGCTTATTAGTAACCTGACTATCACAAAGTGTTGTGTATTTTTTTTAATGTACACTGAAAGCATATGCACCAAAGACAAATTCCTTGTGTGTTCAATCACACTTATCTATCTATCTATCTATCTATCTATCTATCTATCTATCTATCTATCTATCTATCTATCTATCTATCTATCTATCTATCGCTACTTTCAATGCTGGCAGTCTTTGTCTCTCTACTGGTAATTCTGTATATGCCATAATTTTCTCTTAATTC